TGCCCACCACATCGTGCTGTACACGCTGGGGCTGCAGTGGGTGGTGGGTGCAGGGACCTCAGGAGGCCCCGGAATAGGACTGGACCCAGGAGGTCAGACATGGCAGAGCTGGGTGGAACCGAGGTCCCAGTAGGGGAGGAGCTAGCCAGCACCACACACCTGGCCATATGCCAGTGGGGGCCAGCAGTGACCACATGGATGTGCCCCACCCACCTAACCCTGCCAGCCAAGCCTGGGGGCAGGCGGTTAGGACGTGGGGGTTGGAAATGGACTCGGGTGGGGTCTGATGTTGGGTGGAGCGTCCGGATCATGGGGAGGGAGGGGGAGGGGCTGGCCACTGCAGGGAGTGACCTTTCCGCTTGTGCAGCATTTGAGAAGGATCAGCCTTCTGTGGGTGAACTGCATTCCGGGGCGTAACTGAGCTCGGTATGTCTGGGGACACAAAGACAGCCCGTGTGTCAGGGACCGAGTGGGCAAGGGAGGTTGGAGGAGCAGGCTGGCGGGGGGCTGTGGTGAGCAGCTGTGCCCACCTCCGAACAGAGCAGACACGCCCTTCGCCCCCCCCACCCCGCCCCTCCCAGCAGAAGGCCTTAAAAAGCTGTAACCTGGAGCCCACTGTGCTCTTTCCTGCTGTTCCTGTCTTCTACTCAGCCGTGCTGGAGGTGGGGTCTCCCTCTCTCTCTCTCCCTCCCCCCTAAGCTGGTGACTTTGAGCCCAACACATCATCCACTGCACCACCAGGGCTTGGGCTCCGAACTCAAACCAAAAAACCAAACTCCCTGCCATCCAATCATGACTCATCCTGAGGGACTCGACAGGACAGGGTAGAACTTCCCCTTTGGGTTTCTGAGAGTTTAAATCTGGACAGGAGAAGGCGGCCTCCTCTTTCTCCTGAGGAGCGCCTGGTGGATTCGAACCATGCACCTGGTGGCTAGCAGTTCAGTCTCCAGAGGTTGGTGGCTGAACCTGCCCAGCAGTGCCACAGACAAAAGGCCCGGACCACCAGCTCTGCTCTGTAGGACGTGGGTGGGTCTCAGGACGTGGGACCCACCGAATGGCAACTGGCTTTGGGGGCAGGAGCCTCCCAAGGGGAGCTCACGCTGATTGCTTGATGAACGGTGGCAGGTCCCACAGTGAAGCTCTTTACCTCAGGGGTGGGGGGTGGGGTACTTGTACCCCGTGAGAATGTCCTCCTTGAGTGTGTGCTCTGAGGTCTTCAGCCGTTTCTGACCGTCTGCTTTTACACACCTTGACCTGGTCCTGAGACTGTGGGGCTAACCCAGCGGTTCTCAACCTGGGGGTCGAGACCCTTTTGGAGGGTCAAATGACCCTTTCAGAGGGTCGCCTGATTCATCACAGCAGCAAAATGACCGTGATGAAGAAGCAAGGAAAATAGTTTTGTGGCGGGGGTGGGGGGAGGTGTCGCCACCACATGAGGAACTGTATGAAATGGTCCTGGCGTGAGGAAGGTGGAGACTCCTGACATGAGGAAGGTGGACACCCGCTGGGCGAAACCAAGCAGGACGGCTCCCTGCAGGGCGGCGGAGCTGCTTCAGGGAAGGGTAAATACCTTCATGGGCGGATAATACAAAAGCCCTGACTTCAAACTGACAAAGAACCCTGAGTCATGTTGGCTAAGGATGGGTGCAGCAGCATGGGTGGGCTGGAGGGACCCAGGTCAGGAGTGGGGGTGTGTGTGTGTGTGTGTGCAAGAACAATTAACCTGGAGTCATTAGGAATGGCCTCATGTTGCATGACCTTTGGGGAGCCCTCACAAGGAAGACTGGAGGGAGCCAGGCTTGGGTTTCCTGCCTGGGGAGGGGACTCTGTGAGGGGCAGGGCCAAGTGTGGAACCGCAAAGAGGTGCCCTGGCCAGGGTGTCAGAAGGAAGGCAGGAGAGGTGATGGGGGGACTTGAGGACCACTGGGAGGACTTGTCCCTCTCTGAGTGGGCTGGGGCACCCTAGGGAGGTTTTGAGCAGAGAGGCTTCTGTGGTTGAAGCGATTCCCCAGGCTGCCTCTGGAGCATAAAACCGCAGGGCACCATGGGGCACCAGACAACCGCGCTGAGGTCATCCTTATAATCGAGTGGAGCCGTGCAGGCCTGAAGAGCAAGGAAGAAGGAAATAAGGAAGCAGCCTCCTTCTGAACGAATTTCCCACGCCTCCCACCTCCCTGGACAACTGCACGACCACAGGTGCATCACGGGAGGGGTCAGGGAGGTGGCTTCTTCCTGCCTGCCTGCCTTCCTTCCCCTCCCTCCCTGCCTTTCTCAACTATCTTCCCAGCCTCCTCTCTGTCCTCGCTGCCTCACCCCCCAAGTCATTGCCCCCCCATCCCCATCCCCCGGGACTTCTTAATCAGCGCATCCCTTTCCCAGGCACCACACCTAGAGGCCAGCCAAGGTGACCCATCTCTCTAGTCACGTCAATTGCTTTCCACGGCTCAAACCCTCCAGCCTTGGATTCTGCAACACCCCCTTTCTGGTCCCCCAATTCACCCACCATCTCCCCATGCTCCCTCCCAGCTCCTCCCTCACCGATTGCCAAGAACCTACCAGCCAGGCGTCCTGCCAAGCCGACCATGA